AAACTGACTCTCGCCTATGAAAAGATGTCTTAAAGTGTCCTCTGTCTAATGCTGAAAACCGCACTTCATTAACTATCACCCGCGACGAGTTATTCAAAAAGTAACCGACTGCACGACCATTTGGTACAGATAGTAGTACCTAGAAAAAAATCGTCAATTAATTGCGATTAATCGCTAAAATCGCCTAAAAATCACCAAAAAATCGGCAATTAATCGCGATTAAGCACACGATTAATCGTATGATTTTTCACGGTTAATTGCCGATTTTTAGTACATGTGTATTTACTCGATCGTTCAAATTCTATTAACCAACATAGTGAATTAGATCAATCTTGGTTATCTGTTCTAGAAAAGAAGAGAGACAAGATTAGAAGAAAAATTAGATTGAAACGAACAGTAGATAGGAAAGGAAGCGATAGAGTGGAAATGTTTAAAGTCTGTGTGACAAACTTTTGTTAATCTGAAAACACAATGTGAGGAATCACGAGACTAGAGGAAATACTGCTGTGAAGGAGAAGATCAATATTCTTGTCGACGCATGTGTGAAAAGAAAACTACACTTCTAAATTTCCAATTGAGAAAGAGTACTCATTCATCTGAAAAATTTTTTTCATAATGGGCTCGAAAAAGACTTTCTCCGTGGAAATTTCCCTCCCTCTGTAAAAGAACCAAACGAAAGCTGTGCATGCAGTACGTGCTGTAGTATAGCACTCTAACGAGGCAAGCTATCCAAGTGTCCCTTCGTCTCTTTAATGAAATGAAGTAGGCTATAGGTAATCGACCATGTTGATTCTGAATATGATAGCCGTCTTTGTCCATAGGTCTTTCCTAGCCTGTTTCTGGAAAACCAGTTATCCAGACATCTCTCAAAATCCCCAACCCCTTTTCTAAATAACTTACGATTGTAGCTAGCCTGTGAAATTCTGATTAAAACAAGACATCTCCCAGCTCTGCACCACTTTTTTTTGAAAAGGTATGGCATTCACAAGAAGAGCTCTAAATTTCCTTTTCTTTGTGTACCTAACAATGATCGTTTAGGACTTTTCTTGTAAATTCCATAACTTTTCAAAAAATAGTCCTATTTCAACGGAAATGATTGCCGCCGAGTTAAAAATTCGCTTAAACTCATTGTTATCATCCACTGAAATTTATAATTATTTCTTATCAACGCCAGAGCTGCTTAAACTTATTCATTCTAATCAAAAATATACAGTCTTGACTATATGTTTGATTAGAATGAATGAGTTTTTGACTTCGTCGTACACTTTGTGTCGACGTTAAATAAGGTCGACACTTACGTATAGTATAGTCAGTAACATGTGAGTGATTACATGTAAAGACGCCTCGATAAATCGCCAAAACAATTTCTAAATCATATCAACATATAGCGGTTTTTTTCTTGAAGTGTTGCGAACCTGGGACTAGTGGGCTTTTATAGCCCATGGTTGACTAAGTGGATCGGCACTAGTTTGGCTCCGACGTATGACCGACACTCCAGCCAAAAAATTTAAAACAAAATTTGCAACGAAATAAAGCAGAGAATAATAAAAATTAAGCGCTGACGAGTTTCCAACCTCGGCACTCGTTTATCGTGGGCGTAGTGTTTAATCGATTTTGCCATCAGCGCATATCAATAGATAAGTATATTTCTCACTTATTCTGTTCTTTTCCTCACTAAAGTAGAAACAGGAAGAAATTATATGTATACTTTCTAAGGAGCATAACGTAATCTCTTTAAGATCAAACTGCAATCTGTTTTACTCGGCATTTGTCTTCGAGAACAGATCAGGAAAATAATCAGGCAAGCAAGGGAAGTTGCGTTCTTAATGCTCATATTCTTTCTGCTTGCTTCTTCAATAGTCGAACAAAGGACGGGGAATGGTTTCTGCTAGAAAATGGCCCAATATGATTTTGAGTGAAAATGATCGAAAATGCTTCCCTTTTCACTTCCCACTCTCAAAAATTCATTCTGCTGTCTTTCAAACAAAAATTACTTTTCGTTTTTCGCCACCAGTTCAACAAAAGTCATTTACATTTTTTCGCAAATTTATCGTCCTATTTCAAAGTCCTTGATGTTAATGCCAGCATTCCTAAAAGCTTTAGTGAGTGTGTCATGCATGCCTTTTGTCATTCTTTCCTTGATTATTGTTGTTAGTGTGTCATGCATTCCTTTCGTCATTTCTTTTCATCTTTTTGGCTTTTCTTATCAGTGTTCCTTGATATAGCTAAAAGGGAACTATTTTTCGGTTTCTTGGTATTCGTTTTTTTTCTGACATGGGAGTCAGCGGTTTTTTGTTACTGTGAGGGAGATTCAAATTAAACGTTGAGCGTAACAGTGATGCACTAGCCCAATTTTCATTGTTGATATATGGTCCTTACAAGAGCCGGTGAACAAGCCATTTTCCATCAACATTTGCCTGATTTTGCCCATATTGATCTTGAACAAACTAATTATATTACCTTCACAGCTAAATTTACATTTGTTTATAAACCACGAGAATTCATGATGGCTGAAGAAATTTTAAAAGACTTGATCGTCAAAAATATAATATCTGCATCAAAATTTACAGGTAAATTTGAACAAGATGTGGAGTTATGGATACGGGATATCAGCGCTTCTTTTGATATGGCAAAATTCGATCCAAGTCAGACATTACAAGTTGTACCAGGTTTTCTTTGTGACAATGCTTTAGAATGGTACTTAAATAATCGTGCGGACCTTCACAGTTGCGATATCTTTCTTCAACGACTTCGAGCCACTTATTCATCACCAGCAGTCAAACAAAGTGCTTCTCAAAAACTTCGTACTCGTAAACAAGGAATGAATCAGTCACTGCTTATTATAAAGATATTATATGTCTCTGTAAAACTGCCGATGATAAAATGACGGATGGGTCTAAACTTGATCATCTACAACAAGGATTAAAACCGTCATTAATAAAAGAAGTTTTGCGACAAAAACCAGCTACACCAAGTGAATTTTTGAAACATGCTCGTCAAGAAGAAGTACTCAATCAATTAGTCATCACAAATGGAATTGATTATAACTCGCAAGCTACTAATAACACCTTTTCATCTTCGCTCGTTACCCCACAACAATTGGATAAACAGGTACATTTCCAGGACTACCACGATCAACCGCCATATTATTACCCATCAACAGCTAGTTTTTCGCAACCTCGATATTCGTCTTCTCGCTCACTATCTGCTAATCGATTTTGTCCGTCATATAACATACCTTATTCGCCACCACGGGCTACCTTAGTTCGTTGTTATAACTGTAATAAAATTGGACATTATGCTCGTGATTGTTGACAATCAAAAAATCAATTACAGAGACACTCATAGATGGTAGTGCCTCTTGTAACCCACCAAATCCATCCTTAATTTTTATAAACATTTGTATCAACGGACATAGCCTTTATGCTATGCTAGATACTGGCGCCAGCCAATCTGTTATTACCGAAACCACGTTAAAAAAGATAAATAAGAAACATTATTCTTGAACATCTCATAGTCTAACTTTAGGTGATGGCAAAACGTCATTAGACACCTGTGGCTCAATTCATCTAGCGATGTTTATCAAAAATCTTTCGGCCACCGTCACAGCCTTAGTAGTAAAAGAACTAGCACCAGAACTTATTCTAGGCTTGGACTGGATTATGAAATACGACGTACACATCATGCCTTCACAACGTCAAATTTCAATTTAAGGTTATCATAAAAAACATTATGTAACTTTCGCTCATGATCATCAATTGCCATTAAAACTCGCGAAAAATTATCATATCTCACCCAAACAAAAATGTCTCGTTCAACTGATAGCAACGTTGTTACCCGACCTACGATGAAAGCTCCGGTATCGACCACAACGATATGTCATACACCAACACTTCCGTCTCCTTCTCTTTCATCGCAGCCACCTTCGTCTTTTACTGTCAATTACACTCTGGACCAAATTAAACGAGCTCAGCACGCAGATTCCACAATGTACCAAAAAATTCAACAAATATCACACCACCCATCATCACACCCTACTTTAATTGTCAAAGACGGCATCTTACATAAAATACTACCTACTGCACGATGTACAAACAAAAAGCTATTATATGTACCATTTTTATTAATCCTCAAAATATTAGAAGCGTATCACGA